AAGCAGTGTGGGCCTCGGGCGTGGGCCGTGCCGGTGGGTGCAGATGGGGTTTGTCTGTGATGCTACAGTAAGGCACTGGCATGTGCTGAGTACCCATCATATATGCTCTACAGGTTGTCACAGGTGCACATGTATGTTATCATGTTGTTCTCCCAAACGCCCTACATGATGCAGGTGATGACGTCCACGTCACGGCAGACGAAGGAAGAAAACCGCAACCTGGACCACGGAACACACAGCTCGGAACGGGGGGGGACCGATGCGCCGCAGCTCCCCGCGGCACTCCCCTCTCCTGTGCTTCCTTTTCTTTAGTGAAGCAGAAACCCGTGAGAGTGGGAGGGTGCACCCACACCCCCCGCAGAGGAGGGAGCCGGGAGGGGATGGCGTCCATGGGGACCTGGAGAACCTACAGGAACACGCGTTTCCCACGGCGAGGCCGGGAGACGCAGGGCCGGGCACGAGAGAGGGTCTGTGATTTTACTGTAATAAAATCTGCGAGAATCAAAACAAGGCAATACAAAGAGTAAGAGGACAAAGCTTTGAGGAAAAACAAAAGAACAATGGCAACAGCGGGATTATATCCTTGAACAGGACCGTGTAATTCAACTCCGCAGGTCACAAGGGAGAGAGAGCACAGAATTGCGATCCGTCATTTTGACTGGAAACTTCGAAATGGGGCTGGGTCTGAGCACACCACAGGGAGAGGGGAGCGTAATGGAAAGTCTAAACTGCCGTCCAGCATCTGGATGGGTAATTACATTTTTGACAAGAAAGTGAAGAGTTTGGAAAGATAGTGGTGAAGCGGAAATGGCCTGAAATTGAATTTGAGAGGTTTGCTGAAATGGGGCAGACGCCAAGAAAGGCGACACCACAGCCTTGGGGACGGAAGCAGGCGGGGGTGGGGGGGCTTGCGAAGGCACCGTCTAAACGACTGGACCACGGAGAGGCAGACTGAGCAAAACCAAAACCACTTCTCAATGACGCCGGGCAGCCCCGAGAACATCAGTGTTCTCCTTTGCAGAAAACAGCCCTCACATAAACAGCACGTTCTCCTCGCCTGTTCGTAAAAGCAGTGGGTGGTCACAGCTGCCAACGGGGGCCTCACACGAACTTTGATGAGCCCCCGCATCTGTTCACAGAGCTTATGCAGACAAAACCCACTGCACGAACAACGAAAGGAACGATCGGGAGATGAGTGGATGCACCCATGGCCGCCCTGACATCTCAACGCAAAATCTGCATTAACACGCTTTTAGCCATAACTTCAACTCCAGAGACACGCAGATGCTTCTAGGAAGGCTGCACGCTGTGTGGACAGAAGGAAAGCTGTTCAGGGAGTTCAGTTAGAAAAAAAAAGTCTTGCAAAAAGTTAAAAAAAAAGAAACAGGAAAAAAAATATTTTTTTTATTTTTGGGGGGTGCCTCCTATGTAGAAACAAAGCTACAGGCAAGACCACCTGGACATCGGGATGCCGACGTCTCCCAGACACGGCTCGGTGGCCGCAGAAGCGCGGGCTGGTGGTCCCGAGTTCTCGGTCCTGCCGCCGAGCCGACATCCTCAGCGAACCTGCTTCTAGTTTTACAAACCGGCAGACACGCCCCGGCACCCACTGGGGGGGGGGAACAATCAGCACCCGTCTGCCTGCGGCCGCCCTGGCTCGGGAGGAGCCGCCGATGCCGGGACTGGAAACAAGCTGGTCAAGCGCGAGTGCACGTGGAGGCGGCGCGCCCTCCTGTAAGGAAAGTGCCGCGTGGCGCCGGCCGTGGTCGGCCTCGTTACCGGGCGGGTTTAGAAAACGTCGAAAACGTCGAAGGAGCAACGGATCAAAGCGCGTGGACACTGACGAAAGGTGAAAGGCTATGGACGGAGAGGAAATGGCGTCCCAACACGTCCCCGCGTCTCTCCACACCAATCAGCCCGCAAGAGCCGCGTGCTCTTTGTCCTGGTGCCACTGCAGGACACTCTCTGGTGACATGCAGATGAGTCCCAGGGAAAGGAGTGTGCCCCGAGTTCCCTGCAAAGACAGGGCGGCACTGGTGGGCGCAGTGGCGCACAGGGCGGTGAGGGCGAGGGGTGCCTGTCCCCGAGGGCCTTGTGTCAGAGCAGGGGCCAGGGTGACGGCCGGGCGGCCAGCGTTCACCGCGCAGCCCCGGGAAGGGCACGGGTTTCTGCTGCGTCAGGGACTGAACGTCCAGCTCTTTGGTCGCTTTTAAAAACACGTTCGTTCTCTGCTGCTCCGGCCCCACGTTGGGAGGCCGCTCTGTGCTCAGTGACGCCGCCTGCTGGGCTGCCTGACCCACGGTCCTCGCCTGAGGGATGACAGGTGGCCCCGAGGACCCCGTCCGATCACCACACCCGGGGACCCTGTCCCATGTCACACAGGGGACCCTGTCTGAGAATGGAGCCGTGGCCGGCTCACGAGGCCTGGTGGCCCCCAGGATTCCCTGACAGCCCACGTCATCACTACTGATAGGCCACTGAGAGTATGGACAGGCACCAGTCAGGGCCAAGTGTCATTTTGACGAACGTTGTTGGGTCTTTCAGGCTGAAACGAGAAGAGTTACGTGATAACTGAGGACGCCGCTTCCCCTAAACGCCAGGCACCCGCACCCTGGCGGGGGCTCGCCTCCCCGGGCTCCACACCACCGACACCGCCGGCTGGCTGCCCGCCCTGGGGACCGGCTCACTGCCCTGGGGAAGGCGGTGGCATTTCGCTGAGGCTTTCAGACCCCACCCCAGGCAGCAGCAAGCACTGGTCACGGGCAAGTCCCGCTTTCTGGACTAACAGCACAGCCACGTTCAAGTTCAGTGACAGGTCGAGCCCAAAAGTCCGGATGTCGGGGAGTCTTCAGCAACCCTGAGTGCTCTCCGGTGCCGACCTTGGAGGGAGTGTCAGTACCGCACGCCGCTGCGGCCTCTCACCGAAAAGAGTCACCGAGCCCCCACCCCACTGACTCTGCAGGTGAGGACCCCCGGGGGGACCTGTGCCCATCACAGGACTTGCTCACGTTGGGGCTCCCGCAGCTCACCAGGAAGAGCGCAGGCCGGGGTGTGTGCGCCCCTTAACCCCTGACCCCATCACCCACAGAGTCCCTCGTTTCGAGGTCGTCGCCCTCTTTTTAATTGTCTGCCTCATGGGCTTGCTGTCCAGGGCTCCTGGGGACGGTTCCAGCTCCCGGGTACACGGCAGGGCACGCACGGACGACAGAGCATGTCTCCACCCAAACCTGCGCGGGAAACTGAAGGACAAGGAACCCCCGACTCTCGGGTCCATCCCTCTCGGGCTCACCGTCACACACGCTCGCCCGTCACGTCCAAGGCTCTAATGAGCTCTGTAATTAATGAAGGAACCAGCACGCTCTTTTAGGCACCGCGTCAGAGGGGAACCCAAAGGACAGGCACACGCAGCATGAGAGGAATGTGCTCACAGACGTGCCGGCGGGGCCCGTCCGCAGGGCAGTGACCGCGGGCACCGCTCCGTGGAGACGCCTTTGCAGGCCGGAGGTCAGGGGCCGTTTGTGTTGCAGCCCAGTTCCCGGGACCCCGGGCCAGGGCCTGGCTCCAGGATGCCGCGGGGCACTGGCCGACGGAGCCCCCCACCGGGAGGGCGCACCGCAGGGAAAGGGCCCCGAGAAATCAGGACCGTAACTTCCAAATTCATTCGTTCTTTCTTTCGGACAGTCCCTACGGCAAAATGACCCAAACAGTCACCATTCTCGCGGCATTTCAGTAATTGCTTAGCTCCTTAGAATTTTAACACTTTACTCTGGCAATGTCTAAAATGTTGAAAATTTAGATAGCTAATGTGGAATGTATGTTTTAATCTGAATGCCTACTGCATTTTTCTTAGACCACAGTTTATAAACAGCGTTTTCTTTTTAATAATGGATTCTTCAAGTGTGTGTGAGTAAAAATTCCTGGGTGGGGCTGAAACACATTTTCCCGTTCCCCTGATAAAATGACTGTCAGCCCCGGTCATCTGGGGGACAGCGTAAGAATGGCCCTGACCGTGGCTCGAGATCTCGACAACAGGTCCTTCCCCACCTGCTGGAAGGTGACTGCCGAGTGTGGCCAGGAGCCTTGAACAGGCCACGGCGAAGAGCAGCAAACATCCCCGGTTTCCCGAAAGACGTTCAAGGACAGTGGCAGGGGCCTGGGCGCTGCGGCCGAGGGCCCGGCGGGCACCCACCCGTGCAGCCGGCCGGGCCCAAATCTGCACCTGGGGCAGGAGAAGGTGTCTGGGAGTGGCCTGCGAAAATCCACCAACATAGGTCACTTTGGCTTATTAGAGCATTTCCCTACTTCTGTGCACTTTTTTGAAATTTTCCACAATCTATATTTAAACTACAATCAGTATCCTGAGGTTAGAGATATCTGCTTCCTAAGAGACAGTCCCAGGTGAAACGTCCCTCGAGGGGCAACATGGAGGGGCGTTCGGGAGCAGGACCCCGGCCACTGGCCCACCTCCTGCTCCCTGGTCCCCGAGATGTCACCTCCCCCCGCCATGGGTCGGAGCCGCAGTCACCTGTGGGGCAGACGCCCCCCTCTGCAGGCCCCCCCTGGGCCTGGGACCCCTCGGAACAGCTGCTCATCTCCAACGCCAGCACTGTGCCTGCTTTGCCCCCACGCCACGTGGGGTCCTTTGCCTCCTGTAAAAACCGCACGTGCCCCCACGGATGACATGCACATGCCAACTGCATCCACGGCGGGCCTCCCCGAGCCGTGAGTTCCACGACTCCCCCTCCTGGGACGAGGGAGAAGCTGAGCGGCACACGCGTGGCCGCACATCTCACGGTGCAAGGTTTGGCACCAGAATGGTGTGCACTGTGAGCTTCCAGAAAGTTAACAAACCTGCTCCACAAATAAGTAGGGTCGTCACTCAGGACGGAGGACACACCAGCCCCCGCGTTTCGGCACCGCTGACACTTGCCAGTTTTCCTCCGGCCGAGCGCACGGGGGCGCTGCCCCCATGGACACAGATGGAGACGCGGTGTCCCTACCTTGGTACACGGCCTTGAACCCGGGCGAGGCGATGCTGTCGTCTGACTGCAGGTGCAGCCACATCTGACTGCTCATGCTCACGATCAGGTCCGGCACACTGGAGCCCGTGAGTCTGCATGGAAAACGGGGGACCGCTGGTCAGGGGCCGGCTGTGCTCCTGGCTCCTCCGAGGGGGTCTCACCGCTTCGACAAAGAGGCCGCACCTCCGCTGTGAGACCCTCACTCCAGGAACCAGCAGCCCGGTGTGACTTCTGTCCCTAAGTCCCCCTCGGTCTCACTGGCATCTTAGTCCTTATTCTGTTCCTCAACTGCACACTTGTACCTTTTAAAAACCAGCCTGGGGAGACCAGCTGTCCCGTGTGCCTGATGGAAGGGCTTCTCCTGCTGCAAGACTTTCAGCACTAAAACAGGGACAGTTCTGAAACATGGGGGGCTGGGGGGGCACCCTCTGTGAGGGGCTGTGTGGTCACATCCCATCGCTCGTGGACCTGAAAGCACGTCTCAGCCCAGGAACGGCGGGATGGTCCAGCGTGGAATCCGCAGGGACATCTGTGCAAGGTCGCTTCTGAAATACGTCACAGGGGCATCAGTACTCCGAACAAAAAGTAAGTGAGCCCCCGGGCCAGGAAGACACGTGGGGGAACCTGACACACACGTGACCGAGTGAAGGAGCCCGTGTTCCTGAAAAGGCCACACGCTGTGTGAGCCCAGCCCCGTGACATCCCGGAGAAGGCGAGACCGTGGGGACAGCGACAGACCTGGGGTCAGGGGAGGGAGCCCAGAGGGTTTGGGGGCAGTGAAACTGCTTGAATATAAAGTGTTTTAAGTGTTAACTTTTTTTTAATTTTAGGAGTTATTTTGGACTCCAAACAAGGAGCCTATTTCCCTTCTGGCGTCTCCTTTGGTTTCCAGAACCACCCTAGTCAGCCGGCCCTCGGAGACGGCCTCTTCACAACGAAGGAACCGGTGCTGTTGCTACCCTGTTTGAAACAGAGTTTTTCCACCAGTGGTTTGCAACTAAAACACAAAACAGGGGCTTATTCTGGGAAAGCACGTTGCTGCCACTCCTCACAACACACACGCTCAATCGCCTCCTTCAAAGCGGTCTTTTCCCCTCCCAAACGGAGTTTACAGTGCGTGGTGTTTTGATCTTCACTTCAAAATAAAATTATTCTCACGAAACCTTGGTTCATTTGGCCCCTCCGCCGGAAAGCCAACGTGTTTTCCTGGGGAAGAGCGCCATCGTAGGGCGGCGGGTGGGCAGCGCCCCGCTGCTGGCCCCTCTGAGCTGGGGTCCCCCGCAGCCCAAGCAGCTCGGGCTGCAGCCAGACTGAGCTTTGTCACAGTTCTCCCCAGTCCGGGCGTCCTCCGCCCCCGGTTTTTGGCAAACGTGGAAATCCCTGCTGAGGGATTTCTCATTCTTCTTGGAAAACAGCTGACGTTCTGGAGGACTCCGAGCGCTCTCAGTGGGGCAGTCCTCACTCTCTTCACGGCGTGAGGGTCTTTGCCCGCAGGTCACTGCCGACCCTGAAGCAGCGTCATGCAGGACAAGCATCTCTGTGGACACTCATCTTCCACCAGATGCTCGGCTGCCTGGAGCAAACGCTTCTGCCTCTTGGTCTTTTTCTGCCCAGACTCTGGCACATGACATGCAAAAGTTTTCCGAATAAATGCATAAATGATCCACTTATACTTTCATTCATGCATTTATGCGAAAAAAAAAAAAGACCTGCATAATGTATGAGAATGTTCCCAAAGAATGACTTACACTTTGCTCCCTCTCAGCACATCGAGGCCTTGGCCTTGGAGGCTCTGTTCTAATTGTGCCATTAACGAATCCCGTTATTTCAGGGACGACGCCCCACCTCTGGGGCAGTTTCCTCGTCGTGAAGTGAGCGTGGTGAATTAGGTTGAAGGCATTATTCGCCTCGAGAAGTCCATTATCTCTCCGACAGATTTCAGCGAGGGCAGAACGGCCCCGCCTCCTGCGGTTCGCTCTGGCCCCAGGTGCACGGTTCCTCCCCACCCGTGCAGGAGGCGCGTTGGCCAGGAGGGGGCGTGCGGACCGGGCCGGCTCTTCGCCCAGCCCGAGGCCTGTGCGGTGCCGGGCTGCGTGTGTCCGAGTTTGCCCCTCGGTGTTGCCGATCAGAATCCTCTTGTCTGAAAACGAGACAGGCTGTTTCTCTGCGTATCTGCTGAAAGACTCCCAATTTGTGTCCAGTTTTGGGTTTTTTTTTTTTGATTATGAATAGAGTTACTGTAACCATTCGCACAGGGTGAATGTTATAGATGACATCATAAAGGAATATTTGACTTCATTAGAAACCACCAGACTGCTTTTCAGGATGACTGCACCACTTTAAACTCCCAGGTGAGGTCTCCGAGCCCGTAAAGACTATGACTCTACACGTGTGACATTCTCGAAACCAGGGTCATGGTGACGCACGTTAGGTTGGCGGCTCAGGGGGAGGAGGCTGTGTGCAAAGGTGCAGCCCACGCGGCAGGGCTGTGACAGGGAGCGGACACCTCACGCTGACTCGCCGTGCAGTGGAATTAGAGGAGGGTGTGCGGAGCACGCTGGTGAGAGAGCTCACACGGGGGCAGCTTCTCCGTCAGCAGTTCCGGTTCCTGCTTGTCCAAGAAGTGGCCGCGACCAGGCCTGTGGGTGTGGCCGGCACCCGGCGGCGCCAGGATGCGGACGTTAAAGATCCACGTGGGGACCAGTGAGGCCCTGCCTGCGGGTCCGCGGCCTCTCCCCACAGTGGTCCCTGTTCCACTTGCTCTCCCCTCCCTGCGAACCCCCCGCCTGCCCTGAGAGGTGGGGATGGGCTTTGAGACATGAGTCCCCCATCTTCTCGGGTGGCGCCGGAATAGAACCTCTCTCCTTTTTCAGCAGCACCTGCCCCCGGAGTCTGGCTTCCCTTGGGGCAAACAGCTGGGCCTTGGTTTCGGATACAGGGTGAAAGAGTTGTTCGAGCCCCAATTTGAGCGCAGACTGCACCAGTCTGCACATGCCTTAGTCCTCGCAAACCTGCACCCTGAAATCTTATGTTTACCGCACACAGAGTAAATGAAAACCTGAAGATTAAAAAACAAACCTCTGACTCTGAACATGTCACACAGCTGTCAAAACCTGCAGCCAATGCCCTGGAGGCCCTGGAAGGAGTGACCCCACATTCTGCCCACCAGCAGTGACCGGGAGCAAAGTCTCACGTGCAACGTTTGAAATGCGCATTTCGATTGTGCCTGGCGCAGCTGGGAAGTCCCTGCTACTTCAGGTAGCTGCAGTGAGAGGTGCGGTGTCTTCTGGCTGCCCTGCAAGTTTAACGTCTAAAACGCTTTTCCCTTCACCGGTTCATTTGACTCTTCAGATCGTCTTTTGGGGGCGAAAGGCAGATGCTCGGTAGCGATTCTCATTGCTCAGCAAATGGCTGACCATTATCGTTTTGGAAACGTGTATCTCCCCCAAAAACAAACGACTGCCTCTGAGGTTGTGTGGATGTCAGAAACACACAGCAACCGCAAACACTCTTGACTGGTGGATGGCGGCAGAGGCCCTGGCTGACTGCGTGAAGACAGGCGTGCATTTCTCGGCTCCTTGGAGAGAACAGCCACAGTGGTTGACGCTGGTGATGTAATCGTCAGGGCAGCTGGACACTAACTCCTGTTGTCTGGACCCCCGATTGGCAGGTGCTCCAGCAGGTGCTTCCAGCAGGTGCGTCCCTTGGGCCAGCGGCTTTTTGCCCTCTGTAGGAGGCCACCCCCAAAGACAACTTCCCGGGGACCCCAAAGTGCTGGGATGTTTGCTTTCCCCAGACACCCCAGAAACAACTGGTCTCCGAGCATTAAAACGCCAGTGGTCAGCAGTGTGCCATGTCCCCGACAGGGCTGCTGGAACCGGGACGCCGCAGGGTCTGGGGAAGGGCCAGCTCTGCCCCCTCCCCGGCTCTCCAGGGGGAGTGCGTTTGGCAGGCTCTGACTCCCCCCGCTCACCCCCCCAAGGCTGCTGCTCCCCCTGAGTCCCACCGCACCTCCGAATCTCAGGACTGTGTCTTCAAAGGAGCAGGCGGAACGTTTTGGGCTGCGAGGTGCAGAAAGGAAGGCTTGCAGTGGATGGAGTCCAGGGGCAGCGGGCCCCAGCGGAGCCGGTCCTGTGCCCCTGCCACGGTCCCTCAGACATTCCACGAGGCCACCTGCTCGAAGGTCATCTGCACCTCGTCGACTCAGGCTCCTCTCCAGGTCCCTGCCACACGCAGGGACAATGTCCCAGCAACACCGTCGGTGTGTAAACGCGCTCAGTTGTCAGTGTCCGCTTCGCTGTGGCTCATCCACCATCTTTTACCAGAAAGAGAAGGGTGCCTTTCGGCTCAGAGCGGCAGCGGGGGGCAGCGGGGAGGGGCCTCCAGGTCCGGCAGCATCCAGGGGAGTGGGTCAGCCAGCCGGAAAGGAGGGCCGATCTCCTCGTCCTTCTGTCCCCCGACGTCAGCAGGCAGGGGCGACGCCGCTTTGCTCTGACTGCCCCAGAGCCGACCGGCGACCCACTTCAGGGGACGGACATTGAAAACCTGCAGCAGGTGCGGGTCCCCGGGCCGCCCAGGGCCAGCGCTCCCCCCCCCCCGTCTCCAGCTGCTCACGACCTCGACAGCCAGAGGGCCACAGGCAGTGTCCCCGTGGGCTGATCTCCCGCACGTTACATCTGAGAGTCATCCACACGTGTTCCTAGAACAGTCTCGGTGGAGACGTGTTCAATAAGTTACTCAAGTTGTTGGAAGTCTGGCGTTCTGGGAAAGCAACCTGAACAAATGCATCCCTCTCTGGGGAAGGTCAGACTAAAGAGGCAGTTCTCTCTCTCTCTTTTTTTACCAAGAAAGTTAAGAAAATAAAAGGCCATCGATAGGGATTCTAATTTTTAAAAGCACATTAGGACAAGTTGGTTAGGCTATTTACACCCCAAGTATCTCCTGAAAACCCAGACTGGAAAGAATTTCATTCTTCCGACCCAGCAAAGGGGGCCGGTAATGCCCCGCGCCCGAGGCAGGAATGCCCGCCGTCCCCAGAAATGGTTCTTGACAGTGCACTGTGCACATGACCACCAGCCCCCGGTCCCACGCTGCCTGGAGCCCCTGCATCCTGTCCTTTCTCCAGGGAGAGTTCACGCTTCACGCTGAGAAGGGCGTCTGTCGTGTGAGCACGCACCGGTAGTCATTGGTGCGTTCTCTGAAATTACCTGTTAACGGGAAGAGCCAGCTGCGGTGTCAGAGTGTCCCTTCTTTTCCCGTGGTTTCGTGAGCTAAGGATTTGGGGTGCCGGCTGCTTTGCTTTTCTTCTCGTGGCAGCCGATCAACGCCCAGCCGATCGTTGCTCCATTGCGGTCCCGAGAGGGCGATTCTGTGGGGCTCAGCGGGCGGTTTGGCCTCTTGGCCGTGGGTCTGAGCGACAGAGAGGAGGCCCTGCGTCCGCGTGACCACGGCTGCGCCTGCTCTCTTCTCGCCCACGGGCATTCGAAAGATGGGCGTGCGGCTTCCGATCTTCAATGGGGACCTAAGGGGCTTCCTGCGGCATCACTTTGCCGCATTTATATTTTATGGTGCTTGTTAGAAAATTTCCCTCGTTTGTCTCGGTGGCGTCCTGTCTTAAACGGACGCGCTGGTCATAATAAAGCTGTTTTGCGCGCGGGTTGCATTTGTTAGTCTCCGGTGCGTCCCTGTGCGTTGCTGCGTTTTGCTCCTGACCGCCGGCGGGAAAAGTCCCTCATCCGTACGGTACGGCCAGGCAGCAGGGTGCGGACAGGTAGAGCGACCTCCTGCGGGGTTGCAGAGGGTGCGGGCAGGCTGCGTGTGGTCAGCACTGAGCTGCAGGCCACGCCTTCGTTTTGATAAATACACACGGTTCTTAGCTAGTCATTTGGCAACAAAGAAAAAGTATTTGGTGGGAGGCTGGGGAAACAGGAACCTTCAGACACGGGAGCGGAATAGAAAAATGCTACAGACTTTGGGGAGGATTATCGGGAAAGCAGACCATGTACATGAAGACACTGTGTACCCCAGAATTCCTCTCTGGAGAATGGGGTGCCTGCCTGCCGACTGATGAGGGCCAGGGGCCCCCCAGCCGAGACTCTGAGGGTGAACCCTGGCCCCTACCTGCCCCAGGTGAGCCACCTGGGGCCTGTCTGTGCCTGGGTTCCATCGTCTGTGTGATGGAGGTGTTGTCGACCCCCCACTCACAGGACTTGGGTGGGCGGCCGGGAAGACAGTAAGTGGGAGGTGTCTGGCCGTGTGTGGTGTCTCAGGGACACTCAATACCCACTTCGATGTTGCTGCTGCCACCATGAGGCCTGTGCTGGGCTGGGGGCCAGCAACGCAGCTTTAACTGTGAGTCGCAGCAGTGAATGAGAGAACTCCTCTACCGAGCATAATTGCTGCGCTGGTTTTTGTTTTTTTCCAGCAGAACAACATGCTGAGGGGCGGGAACCAGCTTTCTCACACGAAGAGGAGGCCTCAGCAGTGAGCATGGGAACTGAGGAGCAGCAGGTGAAAACCCGGCACAACGACCTCCGTGAATGGGGGACCCGCGTGGCTTCCTGGCTTTGGGTGCCACCACCCGACGCCGCGTGGGCGGCGTGCAGAAGCCGGTCGCGGAAGTGCAAAGACATCCCGCTCTGTGCAACGCCGCCTGGCAATGACACCCTTGCGTCTTATTTTTAATTTCGACAGAGCAGGTCTCATACAGAGCAGCCACCGTCCTCACCGAGTGGCATCGGGAGCAGCTGGTGATGCCCAGGTGACGCCACGGAGCAGGCTGGGTCCTGGCAGGCGCAGCACAGGACTCGAATGTCATCTTGGGTCAAGGACCCCGGACCTGAGCTCCCCACAGAGACGGCGAGGTATCCCGGCCCCCCGACCCCCATCAGCTGCCAATGCAGCTCTACCCGGTGCAAGGGCTTCTGGGAAGACACGCGGCATTGTTCTAGAACGTACTTGTGCTTACAGAACATGACAGCCTCGGACCCGAGAAAGTAGAAGGGAAGGCGAGAAGCTCATCAGTCCTACTTTCTGTAAACTGAAATCTTGTGCCACGTTTTTTAATGATTTGGAGGAAAACCATGGTTGCCAATAAAACACCACCCTGCATGAGTGTCCCCATGAAATCAGATTCAGAAACTACGACATCGGCCACCCGTGGCGCTTGTCGTATGTCCTGTGGAAAGGGAAGTTCTGCCTCAGAACTGCAGGTGCCCGCCCGTGTCCCCCACGCCCCCCGTGCCGCCCGCAAAGGTCAGGGAGGGGAAGCCACACTTACACGTACAAGACGGTCCTGGTGTCGCCCACCACGCCGGCGTCGCCCACCGTCAGGGTGTCGTAGCCGCGCTCCAGGTCGAACTCCTCGAAGGCGAGCTTGATGACCTGCGTGGGGGCGGAGACAGAAGCAGCGTCGTCAGGGGCAACGGAGGGCGGGGCGGTGGGCGGAGGGGCTGCCCGGGACTCCGGGCTCAGGGGCGCCGCTCCGCCCCCTAATTCCCTGTGGGCCGGCGGGTCCCGCCGACTCGGGAAGGAAGGATGCGGACTCCTGGATGCATCTGAGACCCTTCGCTACAGAAGTCAACGGAACTCCAAATCCCCACTCACCAAAGACATTCACTGTCAGCTGTAAAATGACTTTAACCCACGTGATGCTTCAAGTGAAATGTCTATCGAATACTTATTCTACCAGTCTTGGTATTTGGGAATGACTCAAATATAACTCAGTGTAGGCAGAAGAAATGTGGATGATCGTTAATGGAATATATTTTCGGGGTGCCCAGAACACCACCAAAGGAACACTTACAGTGGCGTGTGCATGTTCCATGCAGTCGTTTACATTAGCAAATGAAAAGGAATGTCTGAGACCAGAACGTTGTCCGGCCCAGTTAGCTCTGCAGAGCTTTAAGTGTCATTCTTTTTTATACATGACACTTTTGTGGTGGCAGTTCGCCCACGGCATCTGCGCGTGACTGTCTCTGACGCACCAGCATGGCAATTCCCTGCGAGCTTCTCCCCGCAGCCCACGGGGTCCTTTGGTCCTGTGACAGCTTCCTTCAGTGACAGACTCCGTGAAGAAGGGGAAGGCGCGTTGGAGATGTGGTCTGCTGTCCAGTCCCCCCAGCTTCACTGTAGGTACCAGGAGGGCGGCGCAGGCCCGATGTGGGGCGGCCCTGACCCCACCCCGCAGGGCCCCACACTGGGGAGAGGACGCCCAAAGCTCCGGACTCCGCACACCTGCACCTGGGCCCAGGGCAGGTCGGTGAACACCGAGTCATCATAGAAGTTTTCACTTTTGCAGAGAAAGGTTCCTTAACGACAGCAGAGAAAACGGGGAGAAAACACAAAAAGGACAAAGTTGTAGAACTCAGCAACGTCAGACTCAGCGGGCGTTCCGATAGATGCAAACGAACGACAGAATTTAACACTCAGAGGCAAATGCTTCCTAACAGCTGGGCTGCGAGACTGTTCACTGCGCGTGTGCAAACTCTGCACCCTGCTCACCTGCTCCTTCGGTTTTCTCACTACGGGGGTGGAGAGGGAACTAAATAGAGAAAAAATAATCGGTGCCTGTGTGCGGCTGCTCTGTCCACAGTAACAGTGCAGCTGTGACCCTGGTCTGCCTCGCTCTCGGTAAACAGGCCGCCCTGATTTTCCCTAGAAAATCGATAAACTAAGCAGCAAGATTGAGTATTTTTGCAAATCGCTCACGCCTCTGGAGCGCCCTCTAGCAGCCAGCACGAGAATGCACCTCCTGGGCGTGCAAACTGGTGGGAAACAGGCTGAGCTGCCAGAGACCGTACAGGGGAGGAGACGTCGCCACACTGACCATGTGAACGCAGTGGACGGACGTCCTTCACTTCACAGGGTCAGAACAGACAGTGCGCTTGGCCGTGCAGACGCGGCGGGTTCGAGAGAACAGAATCCGGGAGCTGGTGGCCCTGGGGACGGCACGGGGGTGAACGCAGCCCCGGACGTGCACACGCGTTGCCACGGCGGCCGCGCGTCCCTGGGAACCTGAGTGTGAGTGAGCGTCTCTCTTCTCTCCCGCTCGGCAATGCCTAACTCCAGCCCCTCGTGAAACGGCTCCTTCACCCCGCGCCTCCTCTGCTCAAGTCCCGCTTCCTTCCAGGAGCCTGTGCTTCTCTGAAGACGTGTGGTCGCCCAGAGGGCAGATTCTTCGGAAGGAAGAGAGATCCGCGGGTTTCCGGCCAGAAGCAGGACGGGGGTGAGGAGATGACAAGGGTTCGCACGAGAAAGGAAATCCCTCCAGCAAGTCATCAAAATGCCTCTGGAATTGTGCGGGATGTGGCTCACAGTGCACCCCAGAGAGTCACCGCTCACCAGGGAAGGGACGGTCGCGGAGCAATCACGGAGAAACACTGACCCGTCCCCCAGGTGAAATAAGGGGACGGGCCACGGAGAGCTCCCGGAGAACTGGGTTAATCCTGGAAGGAAGCGGCTGGAGAGTCGCCGGCACCATCCAGAAAATGACTGAACGTGTTCTCGACGGAGGAAAGAGGAGAGCAATGCGTTACAGACGAGAGGCTGGGAATTCCAGGATCAACGCGATAACCGCGACAGGACCAGTCAGAGCGTCGTTAAGTGGGGTGAAACACACGTGTATTTACAAAGTATCGAAACCTAGCGACGGAAGACAACGGGGAGTCACCTGGCTGGAAGTTTGAAGGATGAAAAGATAGAAAAGGCCCAAGAGAAAAAAGAGACCTCTGTAGATAAAAGCCGAGATGCTGACGTTTGTCCAGAAAGGGCCTGGAACAAAGGGTTCAGATCCATGATTAGAGCAATCCTGGGAGGTCTGTTTTCTACAGCTGATTAGTGAACAGGGCTTGGACACGGTGCACGGTGGACCCCGGGAAACAAAACCTGCCAAAACCCCCAAACAGGAACACATCTCCTCACAGAGCTACTTAAGGGTAAGAAACACCCCCCTAAAAATCCGTACACGGACCCAGAAGAACACGTGGATTGTATTTGCAGAAATGTGAATTGCAGTGTGTTCTGCTTTTGCCTGATGCAGTAGCACCCAAGAGACAGTGGATCAGCAAGACTGAGCCCGAGAAGCACAAAAAGGACGTGCTTTTTGCACGTTTGTTCACGGAAGAGGTTACGTCATGTGAGGAGGGAGGGAAAGTCTCGTACAGATTTTTACGTCAGTGTAGCAGGTGCTGGATGAACACAGTTCGCGTCTTCACCGGGACCCAGAAAAACTTCCGACCGTGGGGTCCGTTTGAAAGAGTCACCTAAAGGGCTTCTTGTTTCAATATGAAAATACTGACCTAAAGAATTTATATAATGTAGGAGGGGTAGAGTGGATCAAAGTAAAAATGTGTACGTGTATTTCTGCACGTTAACGAGAGTTAAACAAATCAAGACTGGGGTGACCCGCTGCCTCCTGGGACCGGGCCCCAGACCCCCCGTGTGGCCTCACAGGGAGGTGGCTCCTTCTGAGCAGGTGACGGGTGGGGAGGCTGACACAGAGGCGGGTGTGGGAACCCCACGAAGACGGTGACGCCCCCTCCACAGCCAGCTGCCATCTGAGCCCCAGGGACCCAGATGGATGCTCACAACAACAGCTTGGGGACACACGTCTCCAGTTCACTGCCACCTGCCTCCGGTCTCCGAGGAGCCCCAAGGGCCCTGGAGGCACAGGGGTCTAAGCGGTGCAGAGTCCGGAAGGTGCCGAGTAGGAGAATACGGACTCTGACACCGTTGTTGGGGGGGGGGGCAGGGGACACACAGGACCTGTGACCCCTGCCTTGGGCCAACCTGAACAATGCAGCAGGGACACGGATACTGCGTTTCATCCAGTCACTCATCGTTCATTCGCCCCGGATCCGGCTCTTAAACAGCCCCCTTCCCAGCAGGAAGTCTATGAATACCCAGGGTGTGAGGACACAGAAATGGCCACCAAGGTAACGAGCACAGGAGACATCGGGCCAGAGCAAAGGGGGCGACAGCGGGAGTGTGAGCGGGAGTCGGGGTGATAAGAAAGTGGACGAGGGTGCAGACTCCGTGCTGTGCCTCCGGGGCGAGGTGCCGGAAAGTAACTGTCGTCTAATCCCCAGGGGCCGCACTTCCTAGTTCCCGGAGAGTCACTCAGCCCCAACCCCCGTCGTCTCTGTGGACCCGGGGCCCACGCCAGCACCTTCTCAGGACACCCCCGTTCTGAGGGACCGAGGCGGCCATGGTGAGCACTCCTCCGCTCTTGTTTTGCTTGGCCGGCCCTGGTAGGACGGGGCGCTCCGAAGGTCTCCCCAGTGCACGGCTGCGGGTGGGTACCTTTGGCTCAAAGTGAGATTTCTCTGAAGCTGGGGCGTCTCCCAGGGATGGGGTGCGGGCTCGCATAGTGTGGTCTCCGGAAGGGAGTTGGGGTGCCCTGCCAACTCCTGGGAACGCTGTCCCCGCCCATCGCAGAGGTGACTCCCAGGGAGCCACCCTCCTAGACAAACGGGCCGTCACAAACACTGAGGAGCGAGACCAGGGAAAGGGGTTCAGGGCTCCTCGGACCCTCTGAGATGAGTTTTTACTGATGACACGCAGAAGCAGCCCTGCCTGTGTCAGAAGCACCGGGAGAGCCCAACAGTGTCTCTGAAAGGACTCAGAGTGGGACTCGCCGCTGACCATGGCCCGAAAGGCATGGCCCCAGGCAGGAGCAGTTAAGCTGAGACAGTGCAATACGTCGGAACTGCTTGGAGCGCGGAGTCGACGCAGGGCGTCAAAAACAAAAGGGAGAAGCAAATGAAACAAACGAGGAACAGCACGACCCTCAGCAGAGAGCCCACCTCGCCAGCCGGGGCTCGGAGGTGGTAGAGGTGGGCCGGAAGCTGCCACATTGCTGGTGGGAACATGCACACACGCACACACCCCAGTGCAAATGCTTCCTGGCTCGAGAGAGTCCAGGGCTGAGGTCCCTTCTCTGGGTTTGTCGCCAGGGAGGCAGAGTTGACCTGTCCTGAAGGTGTTAGGGGCCTGTGGGGAGACACCTGCTCCCGGATCCCTGCTCTTGTCTCTCTCCACTCCCAGCCCACGTTACAGAGCCAAGAAAACGCCCCTCGTCCTGAGAAAGGAGACGGTTTCTGTCTGTTTGCTGAGGTTTTGGAGGTGTCCTGCACCTCCGTCCCCTGAGCCTGCCCCGGGTGACTGTGGAGAAGCAGGGCTCCCACTCAGGAGACAGGTCACTGGCGACCTGAGTCGGTTTTGGCCGGAGGCTTCCCCTTTGATGAGTGAGGGCCACCCCATTTCCTTTACAGGACAAGCCTTTAGGGCCGCCATAGTAGAAACTCAGTAAATGCTTCCCTTCTGGCCTGGCAGGAGTGGAAACTCTAATGGAAAGTGTGAACTGTCACTGCCACCTAGTGGCGGTGCCCAGAAATGCAGCCACTGAGTCCCACAAGAAAGCAGCCACCTTGGAGGGTGTCCCATCCCGGACCTGGGGGCTGAAGTCCCAGGGCCCAGGGGTGTCCCCTGATTCCCACAGATTATCTGCCCCTTCCGCATCTAGAAGGTTGTAGGCCTGGGGAGGTGTTCGGAAATCACAGAGCCCTGTGAGGACCTGCCCCGGGCCGGGCAGGGGAGTGGCGATTCATGGAGCCCAGAGGCCTGCCTCCCGAGGGGCCGATTCACAGTCTCACGTTGCACTGCAAACCCTTCCAGTCGGAGAGACCTGCCCTGCAGTCGGGAAAGCTCTCCCTGTGGGTGAGTCTCCTCCTGCTCTCTGACCTGCCTGCCCAGAGAGAGCCAGGTGGATGCGGAGTCTCCTGTCTTCCCGAGTCCCCTCCCCAAACTTTCCCCACTGGCCGGGGACGGCTCCCTACGAAAACCAGGTCTGCTTTGCAATAAAGCATTAAGACCAAGCGTTCGCTGTAAAGCCTGTTTGCACATCCGCACCCAGCGGCCTTCCTCGCTCTCTGCTGTCCTCGTGCAAGCCCTCATGCGCGGTCGGCACTGGGAAGCTCTCGGATCTTCCCGGTCTGCTCAGTCAGCCCTGGGCGCTGCCCCTGGGTCTTGTGTTTTATCGTCACCTGGGTCACGCTCACCCACCCGATGGCCCGAAGTGGCGGCTCCTGGAGAAGCAGGTAAACAGAAGAGGCCGTGGCGGGGCCACCAGCCCGACAAGGTCGGCAGAGAGGAACTGTAGCCTTTTGCGAACCGAGCACAGCCCTCCAGCAAGCTGAGGGGGTCAACGGGTGCCAGCACCCACACAAAGGGCGGTGACACTCAACAAGCTCCTCCAGTAAACAGGTGCTTCCCCTCAGCAACGGCCAGGTCGGAGGGGGCTTCGTCCACACCCAGAAACCGAAGGTCTGCCCGGGAGAGACCGTGCTGGCATCTACACAGACGAAGGACTTGCCGCCCTGGTTAAAGTAAGTGCCAGCGTCGCCGCGATGCAGTGACCTCTTCAGGGAGAGGTGACGCGCTTTCTTACGGACTAGACGCCTCGGAAAGGTGTCACCTGACAATGCACAGACTCCGGACACCTCGACAGAGCACGTCACAGGACCTGCCACGAGGAGCAGGAGCAGGTCCCCCTCAGCTCGGACCCGCTGCCCCAGGCCCCTGGAGAGAGTCATTTGTCAGCCTTGGCGTCCACAGGAAATTGCGAGAGTGGAAACACGTTGCTGAAGACGGTTCTGAGATGTGCCCGGCGCTGCCTGAGGTTAGGAAAAGCCAGCTCGACGGAACGAGGTTTCTCCTGGGCCACGGGGACCGATGGGGAGGGGCAGGACAGCGATTCAGAGCCATGCTTGTGACTGGGCGTGGCTGCCCGCCCACCTGTCCACCGCCCAGGAAGGCTGAGAGTGCGGGAGTTTCTCAGCAGGAGCCACACGGAGGCTCCGCTCCCTCTGCGGGGTGTCACCAGGGTGTGTCACAACCCGAGGGTGGCCCCACTGGCTGGGGCGAATGCTCCCCAGTGTGTGTCCCCTGGGGGTGGGGGGCGGGAAGGTCGCAGGTGTGTGGGTGCCCTTGACTGAATTTGGATACATGAGCCCCAGTTTGAAAACGCCATGTCTGAAGGAACTTACTAAAAGCTCACCGTACTGAAGATTTTTACATAATTGTAGCTCATTTTCTTAAATCCTACCTAGAGATAAACTTGTTTTACATATAAATTTAAAATATATGTGTATGTATATATACATTTGCTTCTGATAACTTTCCATTCAAATGTGAGGTCTTTTTAAATGTGCCAATTATAATCTGAATCTTCATTTCTGTCATTTAATCATCTACATATACATGTGTATGTGTGTGTGTATATGTGTACATACACATGTATTTGCAGGACAACTCTTACGTCAGACCTCTCGATGGCCGAGCGTTTCAATCACCCTGTACCTGCCTGTGCAGCAGGTTGGTCCAACGTGGTACAAAAACGCTTTCACAGAGCGAACATCGGAATGGACTGTGTTTTCCTGATGTGAAGTGAAAAATGCTAAAACAGCAGATTTGGGTCCTGGCCAAGGACGTACCCAGTAAATATGTGTGTAGCCGACATACGTGTGCTCTGCATGCTTAACACCCACTCCCCCCGTTACACACGGTCCCACCTAAGGCCCTCCCCACACCCGCAGCTGCAGACCCTGGAGGGTTCAGACTCACGTGCGCCCTAAATGGGCACGATAAACATGAGGTATTTAACTAAGGACACTTTTCTTCATCACGTTAGGAATCAGAAGTGATCCTGGGGGAGGATACGATTGGTTCAGTCCTTCAGTGAAATGCGAGCCTTTTTCTCAGACAATGAGAGATTCCTATCACAAATAGGAGATTTCCAGCCATTTCAGTAACTTCCAGGGTGGGACCAGAATAGTACGGGCGCCGGGCGGCCTCCCGTGAGTGGGGTTGCACCGAGGTCCACCTGCACGGCCAGCGCCTTCAGATGATGGCGCAACAGAACCTCTCGTTGCCCCCTTGGGTTATTCGGTGCCCAGTGTGGCTGCCCTGCCGACCACAAAAAACGCAGAGGGGTGTAAATCTGGGCCCCTCCCCCGATCCCTCTGGGGCCCGTGGATACTGCTGTTGTCTTCAGTGGGGCCCCTGGAAACCATCACCATGTTGTGAACACAGACCCTCAAATCCGCAAGTCACATCGCCACCCGGAGATGGTGAGGACTGCAGGGCAGGGCGCCTCGCTCAGTGACGCAGCGGCCCACCCGTGGGCGCCGCCTGGTGGGCACCGTCGGGAATGCAGGCTCACCGATGATGCTGGGGCAGCAACGTGGGCGCCTGGAGGGGGTCACCGCAGCGCAGCGGGCAGCGAAGGTGGGGCCTGCGCGCCCTGCAGCGGGCGTTTCCAAGGGAACGCCATTTACCTGGAAACGTGGGGCGCACTAGGCCATTTTTAGGACTCAAACATCGCGTGGATGTGTGCAGCTGCTGGCTGGGGACAGACATACTAGGGATGCATTTTTCAGAAGAAAACCTTGCCTTTGGCATTCCTTCCTCGGGCTTCTCGGCCACCTAACAGGGTTCAGCTCTGTATTCGTTCTCAATTGTCTGCCGGCCCTGGCCGCGTGGCGGCCACCAGACAGGAGATGGGAACTTCACAGACGCCGTAGACGTCTGCTGCACACACAAGATGTTCAAGTGACACTTCATTCCGATCCGATTCCTAGGAGCTGCCATTCTGTATGTGCCATTAAGGAACACGTGACGTTAAATAAAACCTTTAAAAATGAGACGCAATGTTTAATCTCAGCCCTGAGAAAGTCATGAACGGGCCATGCACACTTTTTACTGTTTGGGGGCTTTTCCCTCTTTTTGTGGGGCGTCCGATCACTGCTTCTGCCTTTAGCTGGACGTGACGGTTTCCCCATGAAAGCCCGTCAGGCACACGCGGCTCCCTCTGCTTTCCTCGCGGGAACTTCTCCCTCCGTCCCTCCCGGGGTTTCAGGCCTGTCACTTGTCCTGTTGGATTTCCATTCCCGCCCCCTCCTCTCCTCCTGGAAACCCAGCCACCTGCTCTCCCTTCCTCTGAGCAGGAGGCCCAGGCAAGAAGGTTCCATTTTGGGGGGCTTCTGTGTTTATCTTGTCCTGGGTCCCCCAGAGCGGGGCCCTGCTGGGATCCCCTGCACGGGAACAGAGAGGCAGGGAAGGAGAGACGGCCCGCCTGGGGTGCGATCGTGCCTCTGTCCTGCTGGACACCCCACCCGGACACCCCACCCGGACACCTGCCCGACACCCTGCTGGGCACCCACAGGAGGGGGAGAGCCACACAGGCTTCTCTGTGGCTGAAGGTGTTGGGGACCCCCTGCCACTTCCATTCCTGCCTGCATTGCCTGGACAAAGGGGACCCCTGAAGGCACCCAAGCTGTGGGGGTCAGAGGTGAGGCTGCAGAAGCATCCGGGGGAGGTGCCAAGTCTGTGGGGACAGGCTGGGACAGCATGGGATGGCAGAACCTGCCCCCGGGGCCTCCTGGGCCCTCACATCACCTGCTTCCACACCGCGATTCCTCGAAGGAGCCACTCATGGAATTTCCCCAGAACCACAAATACAAGGGTATTAACTTACTCCCTTCAGTTACAAGAATGAATTCCTTCAGCATTCTTTAAAAACAAAAACAAACCAGCATCCAAGAGAAGAGATGTTCAAAGTTCTCATCCCCCCAAAATAATTTGTGACTATACTAGATGAAGGCTGTTAAGGAAATCCATTGCAGTGACCATGCCACTGCACAGACACACGTGTATCAAATCGCTGCGCTGTAACCCCTGAGTGAAGGCAGTGGGACATGAGACCCAAGGAAAGGACAGACGTGGCGTGGTTCATGAGGAGGCGGTCCCACGGAGAGGGCTCGCTCTGTCCCCGAAATTCCAGATGGGTGGGCCTCCCACGGGGCGTTCGGGCACCACACACGAGGCGCTCACGCCTCCATCAAACAGCTGCGCGCCCGCACGCGCCTTACCTTGTCGGGGTCGGCAGCGGTGATGACCCACACGCAGTGCGCGTTGTCCTCATACTGCACCGGGTAGTTGGGGGAGGTGATGACGCCGCTGGGCCCGCGCAGGTTGGAGCCGCACGTCCGCGCTGCGGAGACAACAAGGAGAGTCATTTTCTACCGTGTCCGTCTGCGCGCAAAGGCGCACGCGTGCCAACCCCAGGGCACCCTGCACCCTCCGTGCTGGACAGCAGGCTCCGGGCTCGAGCCCTGGTTTGTGCCTGCAACGTGGAACCCAAACTCTTCGTCCATCCCGACACCTCTGCCGAGCTGTGACCGCCTGCGGGGGACCTGGCAGTTGACAGCACCGAGGAGGACAGTGTCGCCTCAGTGTGTCCCTGTCACACCCCGCGCTGATGCAGACACAGTGCGTGCACACGTGTGGCCCTGGGGATGCGTGTGGGAGAGTGAAAGCGCAGTGTGGCGAGACTCGGGAGACCGGGGTCAGCGCGCCAGCCAAACCACAGAGCAGGAGACCTTGGTAAGCACATTCGGCTCTGGGCTCCGACATGGCTCCGCCCCCAGCCCCGCCCCAGCCCCGCCCCCTCCACGTTCCTTGAGCTGCGGGACAGGCGAAGTTCCAGGCCTCCCACCAGCTTTCCAGTCTCGTCTGCAATGAACCCTACGACGTCCCTACAGCCCGGTGCAGGCGGAGCTCACGTGTATGTGAAAGCTGAAAGAAAGAAAGTAGGCGCAGGGACTCTGAAGGGAAAAAACCACCGTGGCATTCAAAGACCAAGCAGATCAGAGGGAGGGCAGAGCCCAAGGTTCTGACTCACTTTGGGGTGCGCCTCACCTGACCTTGTCCTCAAGGGGGGGTCCTTTTCCTTCAAATCAGTAACAATTTGTAGAAATCAGGTATCAGCCTGAAGCCCAGTTTAAACGTGGAAACTTAATTTGAGAAAATAAGAAACGCATTTCCCAGGTAAGAACTGACCTACGAGAAGGCGAGGAGGTCTGGTCCTTCCCCTGAGACACATGTCAGCAAACCGATGAAGGTGTCCCTCAGGGAAGGGACTGTCCTCATCATGTCCCGCCCCCCTTGTCCTCCCCGGCTGGTCCAGGGCGTCCTGGGAGGTTCAGCTGTGAGGCCAAGTTGACGGCACCCACCCCCCAGGGCCCTGCGGGGGGTGGGGTCAGGGCCTGGGGAAACCGTGCCTTGGAGCCAGCACTGCCCGGTGTCCGCACGGAAGGACGTGTCCCTGTCCCCTTTGAGGTGACTCACAAAGGAGACAAACCACACCCGTTCCGTGTGGCGCTTCTTCACTCCCTGGTAGTTACTGACTCACAGATCCACCGTCACCTGAGCTGTGCATTCCTGGCCCTCACCGACCTGCCGTCCTGGGCACCAGCTGCTGACCTACGAGAATGGGGGGGTCCCCAAGACCCTCCTGCCGTTGCTGGACATCTGCCCACTATGGACACCATGTACCGCAAACGAACCCATGGCAGGCTGGCTGACCGAAACACAGAAAAGGGAGTTAAAATGCTGGCATTTGCTTTCCTGACCACCGTTTCTTAGATAAAGAGGCATCAAAGATGCTCTGGTTCTCAAAGCTCGGTGGGCATTTCACTGCTGACAAGGTCATTCAGCGAAGGGCACACAGCCCTGGACAGTCCGACACTCTCACGGCTCACCCCGCTAATGGGTCTGTTTTTAGAAACATCTCTGAGAGGGTCGTGAACTTCAGATGTAACAGTTTCCAAAAGCACTTGGCATTCATTAGGAAATCTTGGAAGAAAAGTTTCCATCGATGCGATCGGAGTTATAATACCTGCATAGTACATACTCGTACTTTGTTGCGTTTCAAATGGAATGGCTGACATTAAGTACAATATAGTTCTACTCAAAAGATACCTGCTGACTTCACTTTGAATTGATATTGTCGAAGCGCCGTTCTAAGTTACCATGAACTCTGAGGAGAGCGTGCAGTCAGGATCAAAGTGGCTACATTCCGGTGACAGACACTCTGTTCCTGCAGCCATTGGCCAGCTGCCACCCTGCTGTGACCTCGGCAGACCTGGTAACCCTCCTGTGGCCTGTGCCCTGGCAGTTGGCTCTGCGCTGTGACCTGCGGCTGGATGGACCGAAGTTGGCTCCCAGTTCTTCTTGAGATCCCGCTTACCCAGGGCTTGGGGGCCTGAGACCTTCAGTGGGGTGTCTGTCAGGAAACCCGTCACAGCCAGCCAGCTGGTGTGCCACACTGCATACACACATATAGTATTGCACTGCACATAAAGTCACAAATCCGGTCCCTTCTGAGACACTTCTCACCTGATGTCACCAACATAATTCTTCAAAGTTTTTCTTTCTCCTTCTTTTCAGAGATTTTACTGATTTATTTTTAGAGAGAGAGAAATGGAAGGAAAAAAAGAGGGAGAGAAGTACCAGTGTGTGGTTGCCTCTCGTGTGCCCCCTACTGGGGACCTGGTCCACAACCCGGGCATGTGCCCTGACTGGGAATCGAACTGACGGCCCTTTGTTTGGAAGGCTGGCATGCAATCCCCTGAACCCCAGGAGCCAGGTCTCTTTCTTCCTACAAATGTCTCTGCCTGTACATTTCTCCAGTACACGTAACGCCTGTTACCAGCCCCATTAATCAAGCTGTTGAAGTAACCAGCTGACAGGAAACGAGCGGCGGTGCTCAGGGAAGGGGCGTCCCCGCCTCGTGTGCTGTGCGGCCTCGCCGGTGAGAACCAGCCTGGCGTGAGGTGGTCTCCGCAGAAAGGCGAGTGGTTTTGGAACAGCTGCGACAGCTTCACCTAACGTGACCGAACTACGTGCATTGGATTTAAACCTCCCTCTCAGAACCTGCTGAAACCTTCAGCTGGCGCCTCAGTCCCTCTCTGCCCTTCTCAGCCCCGGCGCCTCTTTGTGCTCTCCCAGCAGGGCTCCCATTACGGCCCATCAGGGCCGCCTTCTGCCATCAGGGCCTTCCTGCGGCCCGTTCTCCGACTCTCCGCCCGCCACACGCGCACTTCAGTGGTGTGTGTGTGAGCTCTGTCGAACTGCGATGTCCCCTGAGTTGCGGGGATTCCTCCCAGTCCGTCCCCGCATCTGTGAGCTGCTTTCGGCCCAGATGGCTCGTTACCGTCTGCAGCTTCTGCGGCTCGGCCTGGCCCTGGGGCTCCTTCCCAGGCCAGTTCGGGGGCAGGGGGGCTGGTCAAACGGGCCCTCCCCTGAGTGTGCTCCGGGAGGGGGGAGCGCTGGCCAGATGCGTCCTCTGCGGTGCCCGACTGCGTCTGCCTCCTGCGGCTTCACACACCTGCAGGTTCAGGTTCTCGTGTCCATCCCACCACAGCTGGCTTCAAAATCCAATGTTCGGGAAGAAGAAGAGCCCGAGGAGAGTGCAGACCAGCCCGCAGAGGAGAGATGAACTGCGGCCTCGTCCACTGAAGCCTGGGGAGGAACTGGGGTGGGGGGGTTCGGTCCTAAGATGGTGTTTGGGACCCTGGGGAGGGAGAAGCCAGAGACAGGAAGAAAGGGCAGCTGCAGGGGGGCTCGGGGCAATCCTTGTAGACCCTTCAAAAGAAGGGAGATGGTTGGTTTACCCAGAAAGCGCACCGATGTTGCTTTGCCGGCCCCTCTGTGCTGTAACTGGGTGCGGACGCGTGTTCTGGGTTCACAGTCAAGGTGGAAACAGGTGCCTGAGGCTCTACCCTGGGCCCGGCTCTTCCCCTCTGGCCTCCGTGCTGGTTCCTCCGCCGTCGGGCCACCTAGGAATGGGCCAGGTCACTTCTCAGACCTTCGGGGGCAAAGCTGTTCTGACAGCGACCCAGCAATTTCACAGGGTCCTCGGAGGTCTGGGGCTTCCTTCCAACAAGCAGCTTCTGGATGAAGCGTGTGTTCAATTAGCCCACAAGTTACTTAACTGACTGACGTGATCAACTGCAAGTTCACTGGTGCCAAGGCAGTCTGTACAGCGAGACATACACACAGTCCCACAGCGGAAACACGGGCTCGTTTGTACACATTGCACTTAATTAACCAGAGACCTGCTCCCTCCTCAAGACCGTTTTGGAAAATTATAACATCTAGTATAAAGTAACGTATACTTAACTGCTTAATAATGCTTAATAAATGGTCTTGGGTAATAACTGTGATTTCACGTTCAGCTAATATCACTCCTACGACACGGCACTAAATCTGTGGGCTGAAAATTTAGTGGCAACTTCTGTGTTTTAAAAACGAGACGAGAATCCATAAAATGATCATTGGAAATAGAATAAGTCAAGATGGGAAGTATAAAGGGTCAGGGAACTGAGGGATTTTGAGTGCCAACATATGTCATTTTTCTACATTTAATGAATAAATACTCTTACTAAGTACAAGACATACCCATTTTACCAAATTTGTCTGATGTAATAGTAAGTAATCATTTATCTGTTTATGTAAACTCATTTCCAGGAAACTTTTCTAATATAACTACTTAATCAAATAACTTATATTCTAATTGACTAAGTGTAGATTAATAGGCTACTGAAACTTGCATCTGAAGCTTTTTTTCAAGAAAATCCATAATCATGCTGCATAATCCACTCCTGGCACGTTTGGAGAAGTAAGTCTCTTCATTGACCACGGGTGTTATTATGTCCAAGCCCATGGTGTCCCCCGGAGGGGCGCAGAGGGCTGGCCGATGCGGGCGGCTGGCCTTCGTCATTCACACCTGCGTCTCTGACACTCTCTCGGTGACTCCACGTCTAATCTTAGGTTCTGTTGTTTTGAGTGTCTCAGTTCATTCAGTCCCCATACAGCTGCCTCGGGGATCGCCATGAGCATCGAAGGGAAGTGTGCAAATGCCACGCGCAGCCCAGGGCCCGACACGCCACAGTGCGCGGGTCCAAGGAGGAGCACCCAGGGCTTACGAGGAGGCGGGGCCGTGTTCCGTTGAGGATCTACAGAGAGAGGGCGGCTCAGCTCCCTGCCTTCAGCACATAAGCATCTCACGTCAGAAGAGCATTCCCAGAAAGGCAGAGGGCTTTGGGAGGGGTCCGGAGAGGGTCTGATGGGGAAGATGGGGTCTGGGAAGAACGGGGGTCCACTGAGGTTGCAGGAAGGGAGCCACGAGGGCATTGGGGGGAGTGAGTTCTGGGCACAAGGAAAACAGTCCTTGGCATGTTCTAGGAATGCAATTAGCACCAAATTAACTAGGTTTTAGGTCATTTTATGTCAATAGGATTTGAAAGTAGTACAATAAGAGCTTTATTATTTCCGATAACAATAAAATAAACAGAAAAATATGGTTTTCTTCCTAGTGACTTCAAATAAAAAATATAAAACCTTAGGAGTCCAGAAGCAACGACGGATTTTTTTTTCCCGTAGTAATGGAATTAAAATAAAAGTTAGAACTCTCTATGTTTCTTTAAATCTCTGAGATGGCTGCTTCATGATTCAGTAATCAGCACATAAAATGTAATCTTCAAACTGGTTCCAGACCTTTAATCTAGTGGAATAAAGAGTCATCTTTGGGGTACAAAGAGTCTTCTCATTACTATTTAAAAAGTCGTTTCAGCCAGGACAGGAAACATGGGTGGAAGAAAGAAGCTGTAAAAGGCTTAGTCGGTGATAATTAAGTATAATTTTTAGCTAATGTGTTCACTTGGAACACCCTAAGGTGTTCCAAGTCACAGGATAATGACTTTATCCTGTGACCTTTGGGGCTCTAATTGGCTTCCACGGGCCCACTGTTACGACTGAGAACAACACCTTTCTTCTGCACACCCTCAACCCGGTAAGAAACAAAAATATCAATTCTGCAGATCAAAGTGCATCCGCATCACAGGAAGTTTTAAATGTAAGTCTCCCTAAATGTTCATGGGATGAGACGCCAGCTTGATCATGCCACTTAAAAAAATATATAAAGGTATTTTTCTCCTTTTTTCTTTGCCCATTTCAAAAATCTATACTGCCCGTGAAGGATGCTTCACCCCTTTCAAACATCTCAGGGCGTTTTACCCTGTGAAAATCGGCAGAGCTGCTTCGCATCCCTGAACGAAGTCGGCATATTTTCAAACAAATCCACTGGGGTAATTACTGGGCCGTGACATCCATTCATCCGCTTGGCAACAGGAAGGAAAGCCCGTCCTCACAGCTAATTAGCTAATGGAAGCCTTGGCCCTGACAGGGTGTGCAGACGGGAAGGATCGCTCGCCTCGCCGTCCAAGGGGGGCGGCGATCGCTCAGGACTCAGAGACCCTTCGTGGAGACGGGCCCAGTGCATCGGTCCTTCCTTAATTCACTGACTGGCGATCTCACCGTGTGGGCGATGCTCCGACCTGATAGATGGTTGAATTAGAATATGTGGCAGCGATGATCAACATGAGGGCTTTTTAAAGGCTCGGCATGGATCGGGCACACCCCCCAATAATGTTCTCTTCTCACCAACTATGTTACGGTGGGAGTGCCACAGACTGCAGCTCGAACTTGGAAAGTGCACTTGGCCTGCGGGGGCCTAGCGATAGCTCAGGAAATGTCCCACCGCCCGTCTGGAAGGACCTGTGACTGTTTCGTTTCGTGTTATCCACTTCCTTCTACGCTGCACACCTCTAAAGCTATGTCTTTATAGAGACAGTGCCAACATCTTCATTTTTAATGATTTCTCGGTCTTCTCTAATGCATGGATTAGTCATTAAAGCAAGGAGAGAGACCATTTAAAGGTGGGGGACGAGAGCGGACTCAGCGGTCCCCAGTGCGGTGACCCTGGAAGTCTCCAGGTTTCAATCTCGTTTGCAGGGAGGGCAGCCATCGGGACAGGTCAGGCTGCCCGAGCTCATCCCTTCTCCTCACACCTGCAGGGGTGCCGGCTGATTCCCACGGTGAGGAAGAACACGGGGGCGGGGCAGGAAGCCCCCGAGATGCCCGCGGTGACAGCCGGCAGAGCTGACGGAGAGGGCGAGACTGACCCGGAAGCGCCACCTAACTCCCTTTGTATCGACTGTGTGCTAGGACGATAATGTTGGGGGACATCGGGGTACATGGAATGTGTTATTAACATTAACGTCACCTGTTTCTTTCTTAGTCTGGCTACTGGAATTCCCAGCGGTGAGCTCCTCTGTGGGACCAGCCCCAGGGACACAGACGCTTCGGTCACTCGTCCCTGTGAGTAGCAACGCAGGTGATCACATGGTGTCACTCCGGACCCTGACCTTCCCAACTAGAGGCGGGCTCTGAGGAGGGAGGTGAGCACGGGGCGGGGAAGGGCCGGGCAGGGTGGAGGCGCAGCTCAGGGCTCCCGCTTCACTGCGCTGCTCACAGCACGCCCGGTCCAGCCTGGGACGCGGGACATCCGCGCACACACAGGTCTAGTCACACAGGTCTAGCTATTTTCCATCCACATGACTACAACTAAAACCGGGCACTGCGACAGGAACCCACAGGGAACAGGGACAGGGCGGCCGGGGCGCCTGGGGCGCCGGGTCCCCAGCTCCCGAGACGGGCTGCGGACCGAGGGCACAGGGACGCAAAGGGGCTGCGGCGGTTACTCAACGACCCTTCCATCTCCGTGCGGGGATGGCCGTCCCCCCTAAAGTGTCCCCTTCCTCCGTGGGAACGTGGTTCCCGCTGCCTGCTCACCCCCCCCCCCGAGGAAAGACGGCAGTTCTAGGCCTCACACAGGAGCAGAAATCCATTCCCATCGGGGTTAAGTTCTCTGGGGTTTCATGTTTTCCACCTAATTTTTATCACCCGATTCTATACAGTTTATTCCAATTCTTCTGTTAGGGAGACGTCAAGGCTTTTGTTTACATGTTTTGGTCTAACTTGGTATTACTCCAAATATACTAAGAGATGTATTTCTTTAAAACTGTAAAAATCGTTATGGTCCCCCAGACACAATCGGATTTGATTGTGAAGGCACAAGCTTTGACAAATGTGTCTCCCACGAACACACTGTCTGAGAAAACATTTCTAGCTATCACTGCTTATTGTTTCAGAAGGTTGAGAGCAATATACCCCACAAGAACAGTAGAAAGGATTTAGTCCCTGAAAACAAAGGGGCCTCTGGTGGAAGCAAAGTGGGGCGCCCAGCAGCTGGGAGGGGGTAGGAGCAGATGAAGGCACTGGCCTCTGCTTTCATGCAGGAAGGGTGGAGGGGTGTCGGGGGGCCCATGGGACCCGACCAAGCAGGCTGCACAACGAAGACCCCGGGGGAGAGATTTTCTCTTCTGAAACCTGACTGGGCAGGACAGGACCCAGCAGAGCAGGAGGTGAGAGACAGGTCCTCTCGTGGCCCCTGAGAGCGGGAGTTTGCGGCACAGCAGGAGGGACCCCCATCCTGGGCCCCACACCAAGCTGTCCGCCGAGAGAACAGCGCCTGAGGGTGTAAAACCAGGTCGGGCGTGGACTCAGGGCCGGGACACCGAGACGTGTGCTGAGTCTAACATGAGACTCAGGGCCAAAAAGGGAGACATTGTGGATTAGCAGGTAAGAGAAGAATCACATGCCCCCCCCCCCGCCCGCGATTCCAGCACGTGACTCCAACCACTGAGAGCAGGTTGGGGGGGGGGCTCTGTCCAGTCCGGCCTGTTAGAATGCTGGACCGGAAGCATGAGGAAGTGTTACAGAGCAAAAGAACGTCATTTCCCTCGGGAGACGGAGTGCCCGCACCTCGGGCCTCATTCCCACCGAGAATGTCGAGTTTTGCTGCCTCTCGGTGGGAGCACGCATTTCCCTGCAGGTCCTTTAAAAGCCTGACGATGCCCCACTTGGGATCACACGATATTCCAGGTAGACTCGTGGCAAAAGGCCGCAGGGCCCAGCCACTCCCATTTGCTTCCCTGGGGATGCATGGGGGGGGCTTCTCCACGGAGACCCCCCTGTGTCGCAGGACACAGCCACCCACTGCCAGACCACGCCCTGCTCTGCACTCGGAACCCGTGGGGCTGTGCCTAAGAGCCACACGTGGCCACAGGTAAGGGCCCCGATGTGGAACATCCTGCAAGTCAGTGTTTGCACCTGCGATAAAGCTGAGACAGCTTTTGATGACGCTGTTTATGATAAAAATGTACGTACGAGAGTCCACTCACCCGAAAGAGGCTAAGGAATGATACAACTTCTCACCCACGAAACTTCCCTTTTCCTTCCTTAATCAAATTCAGTGCTGCTTTATCCTTATCTCAAAAACACCAATTCGCATACATTATTTTACAGGCACACGGCAAAGCTGACTCATCTCGGTGTTTCTTTGGAGTCTGTTAACTTTTCCACCTTGAAACCGTGCCCAGGGCTCCCCAGCCCCTGCACTGCAGGCCCGAGTGCCCACATGGTGCTCGACAGGACAGTTGGTCCTGGCCGTCCTTCGAAGGACAGGACGGCGTGACGCTTGGTCCCACTGACGATGGGCGAGTTTAGGAGGATTTACTACCATGGGATGTGGAGTTGGGGTCCTGCTACCAAACACTCTGTCACTGACACCACAGCCTAGAATTAGCTTCACTGTCATGAAAGGCGACCATCGTCATCTCAGCAAGGACCTGGATACGAGACATTGTCACGGGTGTGCAAACGCGTGTGCGACCAGAGACAGAGAGAGTAAGGCCCTGAGTGTGCGTGTGCAAGTTTGAACGACTCCATCTGCTCGTATCGTCTCTAAATTTTTTAAATGTTTCATTCAGCTGCTTTTCAGAGACGCGGGGAGGGAAGGGGAAGAAGACGGGGACGCTTCCCTGTGAGAGAGAAACACCCACTGCTTTTCTCTCTTATGCGCCCCAACCAGGGACTGAACCCCGTGCGCCGGGAATCGAACCAGAGACCTTTGGCTTTGTGGGATGATGCCCAAGCCACTGAGCCGCCCCGGTCAGAGCTCTTTTCTTAATTTTAAAACCACAAACACCCTTGACAATGTTTACCTCCTAACAAGTTTCAGGAAAGTATGTTCCTGGTGCCCGCCTCACCGTGACCAAATTCTGCCCTGGGTGCCGCGCTATTCACGACCCGCATCTCGTCGTGTTTCAGGAGAACACGGGAACCCCGCGGAAGGGGAGAAGCCCGCAGCGGCCCCACCGCGCGGTCCTCACCTCGGCAGATGGGCCGGTGGTCGCTCCAGGCGGCCAGCGTCTCCGTGACCCGCTGGCAGGTGATGCTCTTGGAGCCCTGCAGCACGTAGCTGTCCTCGCAGGAGAACTGCACGCTCGCGCCGACCCTGAGCGACCAGAGAACAAAGAACAACCCGGTTAGTCACAACGACTTCTCAAAGATGTCACCGCGGCGCTGCCACGGGGCCGTTTCCAAAACAACGTCACACCTCCAGCAACCCAGTACGGCTTCTTCGCAGCCGCACCCGGCCCTGCGGCTCCCGAGCCCAATAAATGTACAAGGACCTTAACACATCTTCTCTGAGATGCGGAGCCCAACGATGGACCCCTGTGTGCTGGGACGGGGCGGGGGGGGGGGGACTGAAAAACCTGTGTGTCCTAACAACAGAACAAAGCTGGGCGTCATTCACACGAACCGGTGTCTCCCGGGAAGAAGGACTGGAAAGTCTCCGCACCAGAAAGACGGGGGCTGGGGAATTCTCCTCTCTGAGGGACGGACAGCAGCAGCTTCATAAGAGCAAAGCCCGGGACAGGGCTGCCAGGGCTGGTGGGGGGGTGGGGAGTTAGTAATGAACAGGCGTGAAGTCTAAGAGGAGTGAGTCCTGGGAGCTGCTGCACGCACCGTGCCTACTGCCTGCAACAACGCACACCGCAAAGTCTTCAAGAAGATACATCTGGTGTTTAGTGTTCTAACAGAATTTAGAAGAAAACACTTGCCCCAAGCAAGAAGAAGAATTAAACTCAGTTCTCAGTAAAGAGCCTGTGTTGCTATCACAACCATTAATCATTTCAGAAGAAGGCCGGTGGTGTCCTAGTTCAGAAACGCGTCTTGCAGGGAGGCATCGTCTGTTGTAAAAAAGTGCTCCGTCCAGCCCCGAGTGAGCTGGGCCGCGGCTCCCCAGCTGCCCCTGAGCACCCGAGACTCTAGGTGAGGAGCAGCCACACAAGGTCGCTGCAGAGTCAAGTCTAACGGTGTGCAAGCACCTGGGAGAGGTGTGTGGCACACCCGCCACGCCCAGTGCCACTTCCAAGTCCTGGTGTCTGCCTGGAGTCGAGTTGTGAATTGTCACTATAGGACAAGCCAGTTGCTAGGGCGGGAAATTCCACTTGTGTCTTCCATCTGACAAGCCCTGAGGCTGCTGTTGACAAAAATGGGGGCGAGACGCACCCTGTAGGGAAAATGCTGCCCGTGCCGTCCATAAAGTTAACCAGAGATCAAAGACGCGGAGGTGAACAAATGCTTCCCTGTGCTGCTCACGGAGGAGGAGTTCTCTCCTGCAACGGGAGTGTTGCCAAGGGAGACAACACAGGCGTCTCTCGGCCCCACACGGCCTCTCTCTGCGGGTGCTGGTGGGTGTTGGGACCAAATGAGGTGTTCACCCTTGCCCACGTGTAGGACGCCGAGACTCATTGTGTTGCCTACTTGAGAACACAGACTATGTGGCGTTTTCCCAGTGGGTCTGCCCAGGACGCCCTTCTCGCCAGGTCTCCGGGACGGTGAGAATCCATGGAAATGGCTTTGGGAAATCACCGCACTCCTTGTGTTCGAAGGTGAGAGGTGCAGAATCGGAAACGCAGACACGCTCTGTCCCGGTCGTCACACCGGTTACACGGGGCGGCTCTCCTACCTACGTAGGTGCCCCTTTCACGGTTTCCGCTGCTGTGTTTGTCCTACATTCCGGGGCCACATCACATGAATGAAATATGTGTTTTCCGAAAAGCACTATGGTAGCTCCGTGTCCTCTGGGCCCCGCCCTTCGGTTCGTGCATCGCCTACATCTCAGTTTTCACATTTTGTATCACCCTGTCCGGGCACCCCCGGAGGGGACGGCGGAGTCCTGTAACCCGGAGACGAAGCAGACGAGCAGCCGGGAGGAACACGCCAGAGGCCTCGGCGCCGAAGGCCAGGGACCGCCTGCTGCGATGGGGCGGGGAGCTGGGGTCGGAGGCCGAGCCGGCCTTCCCACGCCCCTCTTCACCTGGGGCCTGGCTGCCATTCCCAGCGGGTCGGACGTAAGGAAGGACGCTGGGGTCCCAGCTCCCGTGTTCCCGTCACGGCAGCCTGTCATTCGCCAGCCGGGACGGCGTGCGTGCCGCTCCAGGGCCCCCCTCCCCCTGCCGGGCCTGCTGCCGGTCCAGCCCAGCGCGCTCCCTCAGCAACCGGGCTCTGTCTGGAGATCGGAAACTGTTTGATATCAGTGCTCTCTGGGGACTCGATCTCTTTCTGGCATTACAGTGTATGTTTACCACTGAAGATAACGGAACACAGGCAGAGGAGCCAGTGCCAGAACCATGGCTCACTAGGTTCTTCTGGATGCGTCTGAATGGATGCGCCGCCGCGCTGCGCAGAGGGGCCGTGGGACGTGTGCGGCCACGGGGCAGAGTGGGGGGAGTCGGCGGGGCGATCAAACCCAATGCGGCCCCAGGACGACGCACACACGTCGGAAGAGCAGGCGCAGGGCTACTTCCAGACTAGCGGGTGCGTTCTCCGTGCGCTTTCGTGTCTGTGTTCCATGGCGTGACTTTACGATTTACATTGAAAAAACCTCCCCAAATCCTACTAGGCGCAACCTCTCGGTGTGGTCTCGGGGCGGGGTCCGAGCCACGGAGGCTCCTCCAGTGACGTCAGGGAATCGAATGTGGTTTCCGGAAAGTCCTCTCTCTAACAGGAATGCTCCAAAAACAATCATCAGTACCCTCCCACCGACAAGCATTGAACACCTTAGCTTAATTTTATGTGGTACAGTTTCGACAGCTGTTAGTGTTTAGAAACTGGAAACCTTGTAGAAAACTGATTTTGTGGGAGATCGCATAGATCGTGTGAAGGGAGTCTTTATGCATCAAGTCAAACAGGGAGACCAGCCCCATCCTGTGACCGAAACAGAGCAGAACGGAGAAAACCCCACCTGTCGCTCCTCCAGTGGCTCTCAGCCCATCGCCCGTCTGCTCCTGCAGGGGCTCCCTGCTCCCCGTCTGCATGGCTTTCCTGCCACGGTCCGAAGGCCTTTGCAGGTGAATGAACTGCGGCCACATAGGTTTTTCCTAGAAAATGGCTACTGGGGCATTAACTGAAAATTGAAAAGCAAACAGCCCTGGGGTGACTTAAAGGCTGAAATGGAGCCCCAGGGAGCAGGTGGGGGCGGAGCGATGACGGGTCACTGCCCACCGCAGACAGGAGACCCGAGACAGGTCTGCCCGGCTAGCTGGCGGCACCCGCCTCCCCGCTTGGCGAACAGGGTCGGTCTGCGTCTGGTGAGGCTGCTGAACCACAAATGACCGCCTCCCCTTCCAGGGTTTTCTGGGACAGATCAACGGACTGAGCGCAGTGAGGACGACGGGTGGACAGAAGGACAGACGACCTGCGTCTCTGGTTTTCTGAAATCCAGTTCGAACGGCACACGGAGAGGTTCACAAGTACAAAAGGAATTGGCATCATTTTCAGGCACCAAACATGGGTATTAAACATTTTTCACCCCTAGCCAGTGCGAGAGACGCACTATATGTTACTGTTTTTACTCTTGAGTAACAACAATGAAAAAACATACAACTTAGAGCCGGGGGCCGGAGAAGGAAGCCACCTGGACACTCGGGTCTGGGAGCCAAGCTCCCCGATGTGGCGCGGTGGGTGACTCTCCCTGGTGTCCTCCACGGCCCCCGGCACAGGCTGTCGTGGGACGCCATCCCCCCTGCAAATGTGCGAGGACAAGCCAGCGCCACAGGCGCGAACTCAGATCACTAAGTCAAAGAACAGCGAGCCGGTACGGCCTGGGCAGGGGCTGGGGCAGAGCCCCTCGGGACCGGGGTGTGGGCTGCCTGTCCATCCCCTTCCAGGGCCTCCCTGCGCCCATGGGCTTCTGCCGCACGGTACGCGGTGTCAGAAAACCTCACGGAGTCGTGGATAAGGAAGTCCTCCTCCAGCTCAGAAAGGCACTTGGATTTGTGACTGGATGGCCCCCGAGAACCCCGAGAGGTCTTCTCCATCAGTACAGCTGACAGGTGGCCACACACCGTGAATGTCCCCTCGCTGGGTGGTGGGTGCGCTCAGCCCACGGACAGAGCCACTGTCACTGAGACAACCGTGCAGCCAGGATGCCCATTGCCCTTTTGATTTTCACACGTCACAGGTCACCGTTCCCTATTATAGGAACAATTTTCAGACTCATCTCAAGGCTGCAGGCAATTTAGCACCAGGAAAAATGCATGAGGGCGCCGAGGGAGCTCACTGGCCTCAGGGAAAGAAACTACAATTTCACACAATTTTAGATGCTGCATGTCTACCGCGGCTCAGCGAAGAGCCCTGAGCGCCATCCGGAGGGAAGGCGCGTCCAGCTGTGCGCCGCAGCCCTGGCTCTCGAAGGTGCTTCAAGTGACCAGCCGTCTCCAAATGGTGGCCCGAGCTCTGAAGCTCAGCGTTTAGAAAAACGTGTGAATTTTCCCGTGGAGAAATGTAATGTAAATCTTCCGAGTAGGTGAGAAGTTCACGGGAATCTGCTACTTCCAAAGAGGAGGAACTGCTTTGTCTGACAAAGTAGAAAAAGCACATCGTCCTGCTCACCGCCCAGGCCTTTCTTCAGTGGCTGTGGCATGTCACAGGAGGACACAGGACTCGTTCTGTGAAGGGACAGGCAGGCACCGGGGGGAGGGGGTTCCGGGGCAAAGGCACAGAGTCCAGGCCGGAGGAGCTGGTCCCTTTCCTTGGTGGCGGGGTTGTCCTCGGGCCCGTCCTCTCCTGAGCACCGCCAGCTGCTTGGACTTAGAGACCCTTCTGGCCTTCCTCCACCTGGGATGGGGGAGCCCAGGGGCAGCCTGAGACTTGGGGCCAGGAGGTGCTTTACTGACTGTTCCCTTTCCCCTGCAGCTTTTGGGGAACCCGGGAGGGGGTGCTGGCGGGGAGGGGGAGGGAAAGGGCATTCCCACAGCCTCCACCCTGTGGGTGGGCGGGTCTGCAGAGCAGGACGGACCAGCCTCGGGAACCTCTGTGTGTGGTGACCAGGCCCGAGGGTGCCAGGGCGCCAGCCGGACACAGAGACGCCGGCGTTGTCCCCACTCCTGTAGGGAAGGCCCCTGGTGGGCGCCCATGTCCGCACTCCGGGGCCTCACCCCGCCT